GTCATGTGGACAACATAAAAGATGTATCATTGCATGTTGCACACTGTTCACTTTATAGGGGTTGGGTTTGTTTATTGACGGTCTCCCCGGCAGCCTGACAGGGACACTGAATTCCAGAACAACAGTGGCAGTGAATGGTACCAGGCAGTAAGGTGATGTATTTTGCCTTGAGAATTGGCCCAAAGTAGTATGCACCAGTTATCTTAAGTGCAAGAATTGAATATCAGGGGGGAAAAAGTGTTTTTTTGGCTGAGTGAAAAAGAGAGAAATTAATTTGATGTGAAATATTAATTGAAAATAGTGATGATAACTGTCAGGCTCTTCCTAAGTCAAGGAATGAATGTGAAGACAGCAGTAGTAACCCAGTCTGTCTCTTGAAAATGGAGGAACACATTTTGCCAAAGCTTGGGTGGAATTGAGGAGCACAGTGTTGAAAAGCAATGGTAGTGCCCCATTCCATGAAGGGGGATGAAGAAAGCCCAAAGACTAAGGACATTTCCCTGCATGGAAATTCACTCATTGTACCTAGGAGGGCGAGCGAAGGCATGCACACGCATGATGAGCCTCTTCCACAATGGGCATGGTATTCCCAGCCAATTAAAGATGACCGCAAGAGCTCCCTCACAGCTCCGCTTACTGCTCCCAATACCCCCACCTCTTTCCCCCTCGACTCCTCTTTCCATGAGGCCATCAGGCAGCGTCTGTTCAACAGTAGGTGTAGTAGGATTTGTGGCTACTGATTTTTTTTTTTTCTTTTTTTACACTTTTTATTTTGAGAGATTTTTTTAAGTGTTGTGATGTATTGGCACATTTCATTCCGTTGTGGTACAAACCTGAGAGAAACATTTCGTTTTGTTTTGCATCTACTTGTTCTGAGCTTTTACCCAATTTTCCTTTTTGGAATTCTTGATCATTATTGTTTTTACTCTGTCCATCTATCAAAAACTCTACCATGACACTGAAGTGGATGGATGTCTGATTCGATATGGTTGAACTGTATTAAGAAATCACATTTATATAATGCTGCAGCCTTTGCCTTATATTAAGTTGACCATCTGTTAGCTGCTCAGTTTTTTTAATATAACCAATTTTGACTTGGTTGATAGCTGTAAATAATCATTGATTTAATTAGGTATTTCCAGAGAAGATTTACATATTTATGTATTTGTTTTATGCATTGAACAATTTTGTAATTGCTTCTTTTGATGAAACGTTCTTAGAGAGCATAACGTAAAGACTAGGCATTAATCTTCAGAAGAGAAAATCACTTCCACAATCTCTACCTTCTTAGATGTCAAGATGTCCAACATATTTGTGACTAGAATCAATGCAGTAAGGTGTGCATTGGGGCTAACGTTTATTCAGCTGATTGTCGTAGGTTGATATATCTAGAGGGAAGTACCCTGGATAGTACAACTGTTGTAGCTATATATGGAGACAAAATTGAGGTAAAACAGTATTGTATACCCTAGGATCACTTTTCTTATTACCAGTTCAAGTTCCCTCCTCCCCCCCAAAAAAGGAAATTAAATTTACATACATATATACTAAAACACATACATACATATACAGTGCGCACGCGTGTGCGCCACACACACACACACACACACACACACACACACACACACACACACACACACACACACACACACACACACACACACACACACACACACACACACACACACACACACATACACACACACATACACACATACACACACACATACACACACACACACACACACACACACATACACACACATACACACACACATACACACACACACACACACACACACACACACACACACACACACACACACACACACACACACACACACACACACACACACACACACACACACATACACACACACACACACATACACACACATACACACACACACACACACACACACACACACACACACACACACACACACACACACACACACACACACACACACACATATACACATACACATACACATATATATGTATATATATATGTATGAATATGTGTGCACACACACACACACAAACATATACACACATATTCATACATATATATGTGTGTGTGTGTGTGTGTGTGTGTGTGTGTGTGTGTGTGTGTGTGTGTGTTTTGTATCCCGAAACACAACTCTTTCACTCACAACTGATTTGTTCATCTTTAAAAGGGATGCAAACTTTGAATATCCCATTTTTTATGCATTATTGGGCTTCTAATTTTCTCCTCAGACTCCCTCTAATCCTCTTGCTTATCAATATCATGGAATCTCCTTATGCCTGAGCTGTAAGAAGCAGATGATGCGAAGTGATGGGCACATTGAAAAATTGATTGCAGTAATTAAAAAAATAATAAGGCTTGATGTTTGATATGATTAGCAGTTTTTTCCCAATGTGTTAAAATCTAGGAAAGCTAATTTGCAAAGTTATCATGAAAGATTTTATTTTTCTGTCTCTGGCCCCTTTTGGTAATAAAGGGTTATTTTGAAAA